AATCTTACTGGCCTTGAATGAACCTTTCATTCAAGATTCTGGAAAAGTATCAGAAAAGACAAAGATCTGAGACTTTATTGAATCCAAGAACAAGTTGTGCAACTCTTTTTGTGTCTGGTTGGTGATGAATACCTATATGAATGGCAGAATTAGGGCTGGGGCTTGCTTGTATTGTAATATTCCACTGGTAGTAATATTGTCAGGGAGGAGACCCTGACCTTTCTGCAATCTATGACTAATGAAAACCACAGGTAATAACCTAAAAGAACTGGATAATTAGAAACCCCAAATTGGCTGAGGTCAGTTGATGTTTACTTGTTATTAGCCTAGAAAACAGGATGGCAGTGGGAATAATTGCAAAGACACAGGTACACCCAATATACATAAAGATTATGAAATCAGAAGTTGGCAAGAAGGAAAATATGTACATTTTAAAAGTACATGAAGTTTATTCTTCTCTGTAAATTTCCCAATTGGGACTAAGCTTTTTTTAAAAAAAAATTTTCCCTACAATTCTTGATTATAAATGTTTCCAAACAAAAACTTGAGAGTGGTGCTATGAACACCCATACTATCTATACAAAAATTCAAAAATTAACATTTTGCCACATTTGCTTTGTGCTCTGTATATTTTTCTTCTGAAGCCTCTGAAAGTAAATTGTTTCAACCCTAAATACTTCAGAATTCATCTCCATAGGACAAGCACATTTTACTATAAAACGAGAACATTTTTGCACCTAAAAAATTAACAATAATTCCATAACATCTAATATTTAATCCATATTCTAACTTTAACAAATGTCACAGAAAACAGTTATAGCTGGGCTGCTTGAATCTTGTTCTATACTCTTTATTTCTTGTAAACTAGAAAGGCTTAATATGATTCAGGTTTATAACATTATCAGTGTTACCAACTTCGATCATTTACTTAAGGTGGGGTATCCCAGAGAGCTTCAGCAAATATATTTTCCTTCCATTTGCAATTGTTTTTTAATAAAAATTGGAAAAAATATATTATTACAAAGGGATATGACAAACATATTTCACTTATAAATGAGGATGCAATGTCCAACAACATATTAACAAGTTGAATTAAAAATTATGGTTCAAATAATGTACTTTGGTCAAAATTAAATCCAATTTATGTGAGAATTAGTCACTATTTTTTTTTCCTTTCCCTCACCCCTCTCTCCTTTTCTCTCTGTCTGTTCACCCCTTCTCCCACCACCACCGTGTCATTAATTGTCCTCATATCAAAGTTGAATACATAGGATTCATGCTTCTCCATTCCTGTGATGCTTCACTAAGAATAATGTGTTCCACCTC